AAGATAAAAGATATAATATATCTAACAATTGATGTTGTGTAGGGGTTGGTTTTGGTGGCCATAATCTTGTGCATGGCCAATGGGAAGAAAAGAGCCATGGAGATGTGACATCATCACAGTAGAGTGCTAGATTTTAAAGAACTCGACAATGGAAAAAATGATAAGGCATGCCATGGAGGCTGCTATAGCTCTAATAGCATAATGAAATTATATGGATTTAAGTACGAAAGAAAACACTAGGATATAAAATAAGACATGTAATGATTACAATAGAAAGAACTAAATCTAATTCATATCAAAACTAAACTCCCAATCACAATTAAAAAAGAAAACATATATAGAAACCACAACTCTAAAATAAAATAATGATCTTATATTGCATATTTTATAGATATTCGGTAGTAGATATCCTATGCTTTACCTTTAAGTTTTTGCATATTTTATAGATATTCGGTAGTAGATATACTATACTTTACCTTTAAGTTTTTTATTTCTACAGCAAGAACCTCAATCTTGTCAGTGTCTTTGAGAGGACTAGAAGAATCCCTGATAGCTTCAATACTTTCGTCTTCTTGCACAGGATTTGAGGATTCTTCATGCACGGGATATGAAGATTCTTCCATAGAAGGACTTTCATTTTGCAGAGGAGTCTCTGAAACCTGGCATAACATAATAGCAAACCAGTTAATTTTTTTATATCAGCCGCAGGAAATTCAAGATGATTATGCTAGAAGAAGGTGGTTCACGTGCTTTTGTATTTATTGAAATTTACAGCTTCAATGACAATCCTAATTAATTTTCTTCCAGAAAATGTAGTCTCTCCAAAAGCTGTAAGCAAATAAGAGAAAGCTCCAAAATAGTTTTGAATTATATCTCTAACAATTACATATTCCCCTATCAAAATATTAAAATATACAACCTTCTCTTCCTGTGTATCACAGGAGCTGCTGCTTTGTTGAATGATTGGTGCTTTCTTAAGGTTCTGATAGTCAACGAGAGCTTTATGTCGACGCCAATAGGACTGCATTTTTTCATTCCTAAAATTTCAGACAACTGAAAGGCATTTAAAAAATATGGTAAAATATATTTTTTCCCTCAAAACATCTAAAAATTTGTTTTTAATCCTCATAAAAATTTATATGTTGCTTGTCCCTACAACTTTATATTAAATCTAGGGACTAGCATTATTTTTAATAGGGACTGAACAAAAATTCAAGGTATTTTGAGGGACAAAACATAATTTACCCAACATTAACATGACAGCTCTAACCTGAATAGTTATTGATGCACTAGTCTGCTTTCTATATGCTTGCTTTTTATATCTAAATTGATTACAAGCAGCCATTGCTCGAAAACCTGTCTGCAACACATTTGCACAGAACTTTATTTCAACATACTGCTTCCTAGCTAGTGTTCGTCGCATCTGCTTTTGAATTCTGACTGCAGCAACTTGCCTATATTTCATGTGATAATACAATCTTCGAGCCAATTCTCCTAAAAGTTGAAACAATAAATGTTTAAAAGAATTACATTTCCACTTTTACCCTTTAAATGACCGTTAATTTAAATTTAATTGTTTTTAAATTAAAATAATTGTTTCACTATTTTTTTCTTTTAAATCACTATTTATTAAAATTCAGTTATTTTTTTTAAATTAAATTAACTATCTATAAAAAAAAAGAGAAGATACGCATGCACGTAGTGCTCGTTTCCACTTGTAATAAATAAAGTAAATGCTTGAAGATTCTTATGCAAAATATCTAAAACCTAAACTTCAGAGTCCCTTTGAAACTGTCATAGAAAACAAGGCAGAAGTTATGGGAAAAGAATGCCAGGCAAAATGAACTCTAAAAAGTCTTCATTATGTATTCATTTCATCAACTAATAGATATTTTTGGGTAAGGACTACATTTCTAGGTGGAGAAAGGCCCAAAAATTGAAACCCGTTCCATGTCTCACTTGTCCAAGTGGAGAGAGATCTGATTAGGGCACATGGGAGAGACCAATTTCAAGGGACAATAAGCTCAATTGATAGAAAAGAAAAGAAAGCCATCCTCGCTTATTCACTGAGCTGTTACAGTGAAACTATGTTTGTGAATTTGTAAACATTTTGAATCAGGCAGAGATTTTATCAGAAGGATCATGACATCTAGTTCTTCATTTTCAACAGTTTGATTGGTGATCATTTCTATTGTAAGTTTTGTTGTTTTATCGATGGGCTGGCTGTTAGCACAGACTTGTGCCCTTGATTGATACACTTTTGTACCCAATGTTATCTATGGTTAACCTATGGTTTTTTCCAAGAGTTTTATAAATAAAAATTTCGGCTGTCTCCCATATGTCTGCGCTATTTTAATTGCTTCTATATTTAAGCTATTTATTGTCACATATCTTGAGTGGAGGGATTTAATCAGCTGTCAGATAATGATCTCCACACCACTTTATAGCTTCTGTGTCGACTATACTATGTTTAATAGAAGGGAAAATAAACACAAGGTACAGAGATAACGCCATAAATGAATGGAAAGTAACTTTTCTGCAATAAAAATCACTGCCACAGATATAGAAGAGGATTCCTTTCTCATGTGCCTGTGTGCAATGCTTCCTTTTTCTTCTCAAGGATCATTAAATAGTTTCTTTTATGTTTCCCTCCAAATATGATATGACAGTACTATATTTCATTCCCCACCCTTTGCGATTAGGCTTCAAGACTACAGAATAATCAGTGAGAACTATAAAAGAAAAAGGATTTGTAGTTTCAATAGAATGAAGGTGAACCTAAAAACGAAACACTTCATATTTTCCTGCCTCTAAGGACTCCCCATACCAAGGCAGCCTTTTGTCCTTCACATAATACAAAAAAGACAAAAAACTAACCTCTGCAAATGGATTGTAGGAAAACAGAGCTCTTTCGCAAATCAATATATGTTTTCCGACTACAACGAGTTTTAGCATTCTTTTGAATAACAGTAGCTGAACTACTAAGCAGGAATGCCCTTCGAGCATCCAATTCAGACATCTGACCAACTCTTAAGAATATTTTTGTTTCCCCTATCTGCAAAATTGGTAGGTCACAAGTTCAGCTCAACATAGAAAAGCACCTCACAATAAAGAATTTTGGTCAACATATGTGACTCAGAATATAAATCATTTGCCATACATCGAGTGTGGTTTACAAATTTCATTTCACGCACCCAGTCAAATGAACTAAACCAGAAAGAGATTAAGAGAAATCAATGACAGCAACTTTAAAGTAGAATGATATCAAATTACTTAAAAAAATAATAACTTTTGAATTCCTTTAAACATAACAAAATTCAATAGATTTCTTGCCGTACCTGATAACCTGTCAGCCCAATCTTCTCCAAAATCTTTTTACACGAATCTTTTTCATCAAAGCTGCATAAAAACAGATCGCTTTCAAGATGGGAACTAAATAAATGTCAAACTAGAAAGCATGATATCAAGACTATTGACTCCAAAATCTTTTTACACGAAACTTTTTCATCAAAGCTGCATAAATACAGATCACTTTCAAAATGGGGAACCAAATAAATGTCAAACTAGAAAGCATGATATCAAGACTATTGAGTAAAAGTAACATGGCTAAAATTGGGTTATGCTGAACTTACTTCCCACGAAGAATCTCCGNATCAAGACTATTGAGTAAAAGTAACATGGCTAAAATTGGGTTATGCTGAACTTACTTCCCACGAAGAATCTCCGGAGCAAGAATCCATAATCGAGTAATAAAATCATGAAAGGTCCAGTGAGTGGGAAATCCAGCGCATTTAATTCTTACTGCTTCAAGAACACCCTACAATAACACAATGGGCGAAAACTCAACAAGGGTAAGTTTAATTAGAGAAGCTACATGCCATTGGAAATTGTATTTCATCACATTATGCGAGTTATTTTTAAATGTAATTTCCAGTTGTCCCCTATTCAATATGAATAAACAGATAGGAGAGTAATTAATTAAGGATTGACCAAATAAATCCAGTATTTACTTGAAAGAGAATAGGAAAGTAGTAGCTAGTAAGAATGTATCAGGCAATGGAAGTGTCAACAGTTCTACTCAGAAAATATGACAGAACTTAATTCTTAATTAGACTTACACCAGATCGTAATTGTTGGATGACGTTCATATGTTCAAATATGAAAGGTTTTAGTTGTGTATTTGGCTTCACGCATCTAATATAGTGTGGCTCTGTCAGATTGAGTGTATCCATCAATTGTTGTAATTGTAGCTGTACAAATAAGTACAAGAGTATTAACCTTCTGGCCTTTGGATTGAGGTAAGGCCTATCAGATACTGACAATATAAAGAACCATATTTTATAAACCTTGAAACGAGAACCAATGGAAGAAAACTTAGAAGATTTGGCTGACTCCTCAGAAAGTGGGGGGAAAAGACCTGATACAAATGAACATTTGGAAGCACTTAGCATCTCTTGATGTTCAGGAACAACATAGTCTTTGTTTTTGTCTAAAAAGTGCTCAGATTGATACTGAACCTGAAAAGAAGTGGCTAAATAATAAGTTTTAGCAGAAAATCGGGAAAAAAATTTCATAGTAATGTTGAAAAATCAAACTCACATCTCCTGCATAATGACAAACAGTGAAGTCTGAACGTGTCAATTTTGGCTTAATGAAGCGTTTGTGATCTTTGAATGTCTGATAAAGCTTCTGTGAAAATGTTTCATGAGTTGACTTAGGAAACATACTGCAAGCAGACAATGAACATGCCAATAAGGGTACTAGTTATTAAAAAAATCAAAATTGTAACAACTTCGTATGCTGCGTATGAACAATTTTGAAATATAATCCATGAACTTCTCAAGGACAAATTATCAGGAAACATTCACAAGTTAGTGTACATTTTTCCTTGGAGAAGTTATTGGTAAAGAGACCAAAACTTGCTCATTCTTTCACTTCAAATTTGTAAGAATGACTTTCAAATCCTTATAGTGCCAAATACGATGCATCACATATTACATGCAGAAAACTTATGCTGCCATTTACTAAAACAGTAACAATCAATTCAAAGAAATAACGCTTGACACAGTTATGGTACTTAATATGCCATTGGGAAAGTTCTACATTGTGTAAAATCTTTTCTTGTGAGGAAAGAATGCCTTCCATTTCTCTATTTTTCTCTCTTATTCAAATATAAAGGCATAAACAATAAAAAATTAAGAAATTTCTTCATACCAAGCTTCATCAAGCAGAGCAATAATTCCACCAGGTTTCTGAAAAAGAGAATTATAGATATCAGTGATGCCATTCTGAAAGTAGATTCAGAGGATACTATCTTAGCAAATTCTGAAACAAATATTCCAGAAATATTTCAAAACAGAATCCAGCACATAGCAAAAGCATGTTGTGAGAAGCTATTAATAAAACTTATCTTAACCACAGAATGATTAGTAGATGATAATCCTAGAATCGTTCCAAAACTATGAATATTGATAACTGCCTCAAGGCTTCCTTTGCTAGAATAGAGGCATATGTGGTCCATTGGCAATGAATAATGTGTACAGGTCTAACACAAGACAACAAATACACACCACCAATTGTAAACCCAGCCAACTGCCAGGCATCTGAGCCTAGCAGAAGCACGTTAGGTAAATTATGTACCAGAAATTTCAACTTAAATAGTTTCTCTTTTACAATAAGAAATTATCATAGGATTGATTATGCCAGAATTATTATTCATGTAAACAACCTTGCACTCAAGATAATTTAGACCTAGTAATGGCAGTTGATGACACATGTCTAACCAAACACAGAGGCCTTTGCAAAGCATAATCTATCAGAAAACCTAGTCTTTATGAAAAATGTGGGATACTTAAGTAATCTACATCAAACTATGGCGGTAAGAATAAAGTATACATTGTATACCAATTATCAAAGTTTATTAGATTTTACAAATACAACGGTTGCAACAATAGTTTTCTTTATTTTTCTACAGTGATACAACTGTTTAAAGAAACATATAGATAAAAACGAAGATAACCAATCCTTAACAAATAAAACAACACGTCATAAAAAGCCCCGCATGCAGAAACACAATGTCCAGAAATTCCCCTCAATTTCTCTAAACATTGACTGTTGAGATGCTTTTGTCAGAGTTATAGAAACAATTGTTGAGCCTGTGAAAACAAAGTATGTAGGATATTTTATTCTTAAACGTCTCAAAAGTTTGTGACCAAGTGGTAAAGAAGAGTTCAATCCTTGGTGTGCATGTGCATCCTGATCAAGTTAAATTCAAGCAAAAAGCAAAATAGGCATAAGTAGTTCTCTACACACCAAACCTATATAAGGTGTGTTTCAGACATAAAATCCATTTGTGGGCCTCCAGCCCTCTATCTAAGTTTAAGCTTTCATGAAATTTGACACCCTTAAGGTAGGCAGTGTTAAAACTATGTTCACATATAGCAGCAAACCATGGTATTAAATTTCACAATTAATGGTCCTCAGATTAGAAATGTGGGTCAGTAATTGTTAGCCTCTGAATTTCAAAAATATAACTAAAATAAAAACTTATAAGGTATGATTTAAGAAGATCCTTTAATAAATACTAAAGCACAGACTAAAAGTTGGTAGAAACCTTTTCAATGAGATCCAGTACATCTTGATTATCTACAAATTCTAAGTAGCTCCAGTCAATCCCTTCTTTTGTATATTCCTCCTGCTCCATCTTAAACACATGCTGCAGCGCATCATTGGCATCAGATTGAATGTTGAGAGAAAAGTCTCACAGTGGGAATTGTAAAATATATGAAAAACTAACCTCATACCTGGTTGAAGTGTTGCTGTAGCTTTTCATTTGTGAAATTTATACAAAACTGCTCAAAGCTACAATGAGGGAACTACATATCAGCATGGATTTATCTTATTTACTAACACACCAAAATGAAAGGGAGAGCTTGCTTGCAAATATGTCTTCTCCAACTCAATATAAAATTACTATTCTGTTGTATTTTACGTTATGTTGCTAAGTAGTTAGTCAGGTAGTCAACTAACATCTCTGTAACGGACTGTTGAGTTAGAAGCTAGCTAGATATTAATAAGTGTACTCTCTCATCTTCTACCCTATAGTCAATTTATTCTCTTATACAGTGTATTTAGGTTTCTTGGTTTCAATTATATATATATATTTAACTAACATGGATGTGGCTGTATGAGACCTTCTTTTGTGAATATGTCTGTTTGTGTCTTCCTAAATTAGAGTATGCAAGCATACAATGACTACAAAATAAATCTAGAGCTACTGTAATAAATAACCTAAACTAGAGAATAAAGAAGCTAAAAAAGGAAATAATACTAATATCATTCATTTCTTCATATCCTTAACACAATAACAATTACCTTAAATAGCCTAAAACTACCAAGTAATTTGATAACAGCCCTGTAAGTGTCATCGTCTAACATTATGAAATAAAAAGAAAATAGAAAATAATGAAATGTGAAATAAACTAATTTAACCCTATCTAATATAAATCCTTCGACCAATTAGATTTGGGCCTAGAGCCCATCCTATCATACAATAACAACATTGCATTAAGAAAATATATTCTCACCTATTTGTTTGGAAGCTTTCAAAGCCATATATGTCAAGAACACCAATGAGACACTTTGAGCTAGGATCCTGCCCAATGGAGATATTAATTTTTTGAACTAACCTGGACATGACAAAAACAAATAATTGTATTTGATATTCCTTCTACAGAAAAATAAAAAATANAAAAAATAATAACTTTTGAATTCCTTTAAACATAACAAAATTCAATAGATTTCTTGCCGTACCTGATAACCTGTCAGCCCAATCTTCTCCAAAATCTTTTTACACGAATCTTTTTCATCAAAGCTGCATAAAAACAGATCGCTTTCAAGATGGGAACTAAATAAATGTCAAACTAGAAAGCATGATATCAAGACTATTGACTCCAAAATCTTTTTACACGAAACTTTTTCATCAAAGCTGCATAAATACAGATCACTTTCAAAATGGGGAACCAAATAAATGTCAAACTAGAAAGCATGATATCAAGACTATTGAGTAAAAGTAACATGGCTAAAATTGGGTTATGCTGAACTTACTTCCCACGAAGAATCTCCGGAGCAAGAATCCATAATCGAGTAATAAAATCATGAAAGGTCCAGTGAGTGGGAAATCCAGCGCATTTAATTCTTACTGCTTCAAGAACACCCTACAATAACACAATGGGCGAAAACTCCACAGGGGTAAGTTTAATTAGAGAAGCTACATGCCATTGGAAATTGTATTTCATCACATTATGCGAGTTATTTTTAAATGTAATTTCCAGTTGTCCCCTATTCAATATGAATAAACAGATAGGAGAGTAATTAATTAAGGATTGACCGAATAAATCCAGTATTTACTTGAAAGAGAATAGGAAAGTAGTAGCTAGTAAGAGTGTATCAGGCAATGGAAGTGTCAACAGTTCTACTCAGAAAATATGTCAGAACTTAATTCTTAATTAGACTTACACCAGATCGTAATTGTTGGATGACGTTCATATGTTCAAATATGAAAGGTTTTAGTTGTGTATTTGGCTTCACGCATCTAATATAGTGTGGCTCTGTCAGATTGAGTGTGTCCATCAATTGTTGTAATTGTAGCTGTACAAATAAGTACAAGAGTATTAACCTTCTGGCCTTTGGATTGAGGTAAGGCCTATCAGATACTGACAATATAAAGAACCATATTTTATAAACCTTGAAACGAGAACCAATGGAAGAAAACTTAGAAGATTTGGCTGACTCCTCAGAAAGTGGGGGGAAAAGACCTGATACAAATGAACATTTGGAAGCACTTAGCATCTCTTGATGTTCAGGAACAACATAGTCTTTGTTTTTGTCTAAAAAGTGCTCAGATTGATACTGAACCTGAAAAGAAGTGGCTAAATAATAAGTTTTAGCAGAAAATCGGGAAAAAAATTTCATAGTAATGTTGAAAAATCAAACTCACATCTCCTGCATAATGACAAACAGTGAAGTCTGAACGTGTCAATTTTGGCTTAATGAAGCGTTTGTGATCTTTGAATGTCTGATAAAGCTTCTGTGAAAATGTTTCATGAGTTGACTTAGGAAACATACTGCAAGCAGACAATGAACATGCCAATAAGGGTACTAGTTATTAAAAAAATCAAAATTGTAACAACTTCGTATGCTGCGTATGAACAATTTTGAAATATAATCCATGAACTTCTCAAGGACAAATTATCAGGAAACATTCACAAGTTAGTGTACATTTTTCCTTGGAGAAGTTATTGGTAAAGAGACCAAAACTTGCTCATTCTTTCACTTCAAATTTGTAAGAATGACTTTCAAATCCTTATAGTGCCAAATACGATGCATCACATATTACATGCAGAAAACTTATGCTGCCATTTACTAAAACAGTAACAATCAATTCAAAGAAATAACGCTTGACACAGTTATGGTACTTAATATGCCATTGGGAAAGTTCTACATTGTGTAAAATCTTTTCTTGTGAGGAAAGAATGCCTTCCATTTCTCTATTTTTCTCTCTTATTCAAATATAAAGGCATAAACAATAAAAAATTAAGAAATTTCTTCATACCAAGCTTCATCAAGCAGAGCAATAATTCCACCAGGTTTCTGAAAAAGAGAATTATAGATATCAGTGATGCCATTCTGAAAGTAGATTCAGAGGATACTATCTTAGCAAATTCTGAAACAAATATTCCAGAAATATTTCAAAACAGAATCCAGCACATAGCAAAAGCATGTTGTGAGAAGCTATTAATAAAACTTATCTTAACCACAGAATGATTAGTAGATGATATTCCTCGAATCGTTCCAAAACTATGAATATTGATAACTGCCTCAAGGCTTCCTTTGCTAGAATAGAGGCATATGTGGTCCATTGGCAATGAATAATGTGTACAGGTCTAACACAAGACAACAAATACACACCACCAATTGTAAACCCAGCCAACTGCCAGGCATCTGAGCCTAGCAGAAGCACGTTAGGTAAATTATGTACCAGAAATTTCAACTTAAATAGTTTCTCTTTTACAATAAGAAATTATCATAGGATTGATTATGCCAGAATTATTATTCATGTAAACAACCTTGCACTCAAGATAATTTAGACCTAGTAATGGCAGTTGATGACACATGTCTAACCAAACACAGAGGCCTTTGCAAAGCATAATCTATCAGAAAACCTAGTCTTTATGAAAAATGTGGGATACTTAAGTAATCTACATCAAACTATGGCGGTAAGAATAAAGTATACATTGTATACCAATTATCAAAGTTTATTAGATTTTACAAATACAACGGTTGCAACAATAGTTTTCTTTATTTTTCTACAGTGATACAACTGTTTAAAGAAACATATAGATAAAAACGAAGATAACCAATCCTTAACAAATAAAACAACACGTCATAAAAAGCCCCGCATGCAGAAACACAATGTCCAGAAATTCCCCTCAATTTCTCTAAACATTGACTGTTGAGATGCTTTTGTCAGAGTTATAGAAACAATTGTTGAGCCTGTGAAAACAAAGTATGTAGGATATTTTATTCTTAAACGTCTCAAAAGTTTGTGACCAAGTGGTAAAGAAGAGTTCAATCCTTGGTGTGCCTGTGCATCCTGATCAAGTTAAATTCAAGCAAAAAGCAAAATAGGCATAAGTAGTTCTCTACACACCAAACCTATATAAGGTGTGTTTCAGACATAAAATCCATTTGTGGGCCTCCAGCCCTCTATCTAAGTTTAAGCTTTCATGAAATTTGCCACCCTTAAGGTAGGCAGTGTTTAAACTATGTTCACATATAGCAGCAAACCATGGTATTAAATTTCACAATTAATGGTCCTCAGATTAGAAATGTGGGTCAGTAATTGTTAGCCTCTGAATTTCAAAAATATAACTAAAATAAAAACCTATAAAGTATGATTTAGAAGATCCTTTAATAAATACTAAAGCACAGACTAAAAGTTGGTAGAAACCTTTTCAATGAGATCCAGTACATCTTGATTATCTACAAATTCTAAGTAGCTCCAGTCAATCCCTTCTTTTGTATATTCCTCCTGCTCCATCTTAAACACATGCTGCAGCGCATCATTGGCATCAGATTGAATGTTGAGAGAAAAGTCTCACAGTGGGAATTGTAAAATATATGAAAAACTAACCTCATACCTGGTTGAAGTGTTGCTGTAGCTTTTCATTTGTGAAATTTATACAAAACTGCTCAAAGCTACAATGAGGGAACTACATATCAGCATGGATTTATCTTATTTACTACCACACCAAAATGAAAGGGAGAGCTTGCTTGCAAATATGTCTTCTCCAACTCAATATAAAATTACTATTCTGTTGTATTTTACGTTATGTTGCTAAGTAGTTAGTCAGGTAGTCAACTAACATCTCTGTAACGGACTGTTGAGTTAGAAGCTAGCTAGATATTAATAAGTGTACTCTCTCATCTTCTACCCTATAGTCAATTTATTCTCTTATACAGTGTATTTAGGTTTCTTGGTTTCAATTATATATATATATTTAACTAACATGGATGTGGCTGTATGAGACCTTCTTTTGTGAATATGTCTGTTTGTGTCTTCCTAAATTAGAGTATGCAAGCATACAATGACTACAAAATAAATCTAGAGCTACTGTAATAAATAACCTAAACTAGAGAATAAAGAAGCTAAAAAAGGAAATAATACTAATATCATTCATTTCTTCATATCCTTAACACAATAACAATTACCTTAAATAGCCTAAAACTACCAAGTAATTTGATAACAGCCCTGTAAGTGTCATCGTCTAACATTATGAAATAAAAAGAAAATAGAAAATAATGAAATGTGAAATAAACTAATTTAACCCTATCTAATATAAATCCTTCGACCCATTAGATTTGGGCCTAGAGCCCATCCTATCATACAATAACAACATTGCATTAAGAAAATATATTCTCACCTATTTGTTTGGAAGCTTTCAAAGCCATATATGTCAAGAACACCAATGAGACACTTTGAGCTAGGATCCTGCCCAATGGAGATATTAATTTTTTGAACTAACCTGGACATGACAAAAACAAATAATTGTATTTGATATTCCTTCTACAGAAAAATAAAAAATAAATGTTATATATGCACATAGACATATAGATACATACACACAAACATATATATATATATACATGTATATAAACATATATATGTATATGTGTATATACACATATACATACATATATATATATATATATATATGAAAAATCACATTACCAGTCAAATAAACGAGAATATATGGTTTTGGCTAAACCATCCCGGCTAACTGTGGCACCCAGAGGGTCAAGACTTCTTTTGATGATTTCTTCTGGAGTAACCATCATACGCTTACACAGTGCATCTTCCAAAGCATGCACATCACACCTGGAATATGAATAAATTCAATTGATAAATAATATCTATACAAGATTTTGGAAAGGATAACAGTAAAAATTCAGCAATACATAAGAAGTTCTGCTGTTGTTTGCAGATGAAACTTGGATTCTTCTTCTTCTAGAACTGCAAAATCAGTTTCTTCTGATTTTGAAAAGTTAATATTTCCAAGATGAAGAATACCAGCTACAACTCTGAAAATAGCATCCTGAGAGGAGGAAGTGAGGAAACATGTAACTAAGTTTTCATAGAAGTTTTGTTTGAAAGACACCTAAATGAATTATTAGAAACACTAACAAATGTTTTAGTGATACCTGCTCGTCCTGACTGATTCCCACAATATCCATGGCTCTCTTGGTGCTAAGGTATTCTTGAGCAGCATTAACACCAACTAATTCGTAGCAATTGGATTGGTTAAGGTAGTGAAATGATTTAGGATCTCCCAACTTATATTTCTCCTTTTCCTAAATGAAATCAGGATGCTGCCAATAAAATGACATGAAGAATAGTGAATAGAAGATGAAGCTTTGAATTGCTTACCTCTGGAGGAGAAGCGCAGAGAAGGTAAAAACAGTGATAGTTACGCTCAGGATCTGAGATTTGGCAAACACGAGATTTCTCAAGCAGATAAGTTCTAATGGCTGCACCAGATATTCGTCCAAACTTATCAAATTGGATCTCAACAAATTTTCCAAAACGGCTGCAAGAAAATAAAAGAAACAGAAGTATGAAACTGCTACTAATTATTGAAATCACTAATTCATAAATGAGAAACAACCTTTATGATGCCCAATAACTAAAAAGCATTGAGCATGTAAATGATGATATAGTCAAAAGATGAAGAAAAATTGAGTCAATTATTCAAAAACCTGCACCCATGATATGAATATAAACTATATACTAGAAATAATTCAGAAAATCAAGTATATAGCTGAAAAAGTGTAGCATAAAAAGGATATGTTTATCACGTACATAATGTAATATAAAAAACCAAGCATAATAGAAACATAACCAGAAATCTCTTACCTGGAATTGTCATTTCTAACAGTTTTTGCATTACCAAATGCTTCAAGAACTGGATTTGACTGCATCATTACAATTTAAAAAATAGATTGATGAGTTCAACATAACTCAGAAATAAGACATGAAATAAGAACTACTTGACTCACCAAGAAGAATACAAAGAAGATTACAAAATATTAGAAAAACAGGAGAAAAGACTGGAATTTGGTTGGACTAGTTTACTACATGATCTTATCACAACCAAGATCCTGATATCAATAGAAAATATTGAGTCTATTTCAGCAGACTCTCTCACATGAAATTAATCTAATTAAATTTTTTTCCTTGATCAACTGCTTGTTAGGTTGCTACAATAAGTATATTGAAGAGTGTCCTGATCGGTTAGATCCTTCTGAAACTCGTCACAATCAATGAAAATAAGGTAGCTATGTTTCTATGCAAAGACAGAAATGAGGAAATAATGATACTTGTATTTGTGACTTGTTCTATAAATAATATTCTCGAGGGTGTTAGTTATACACAGATTCTCTCCAATTGCTTTTTAAATATTTCATCTCAACATGGTATATAGGACCTAACAAGAAAACCCTAACATATGTCTACCTACTGATCCCATTATATATCAGTGCCAAAAATTTTGGAAAACCATGTACTTTTCTAGTTTCCTTTCCCCCTCTGGGCCTCCTTTTTTTCACCATGTTTCATGCCAACTGCTACTACTGTTTTCCAGAAATTTTACTGGCAAGCAATTTTCGCACAAGACAATCACCATGTTGACTATGAGAAATAATCACAGATTTGCAACTTTGAACTTAAAAACAGCATGTGCTCTAATGCACCCCTCCTAGAAGCTCCGTTTTCTCTCTCAGTAACAACTTCACTACTCATGGCTACTCACTGGCCATGCCTTCAGCCAGCACACATACATACATGTTGGGGTTACTCAACTGCCCTGGAAAGCCGCCTATTACCTGCCCAGCCCTTTTTGCTTCCTCTCTCTCCCTCCTTGGTGATCCATAGCTGATATGCAGACTGTGACAATTAGGCAACCCTTCCATCTTCACAAACTTCCTCAAATAATACAAGGAACATGAGACATCCAGTTCTACTACTTGTGTTGTGCACACAAGTAATCCCTCTACTGGTGTCTAAGTCCACATCCACATCTCTTGGTCCTTAGGTCCTTAATTCTAGTGTTATTGATCATATCACATTCAGTAAATCCTTTTTCTCCATTTTTTTTCTAGTTTAAGTAATTTACCCTTTATTCCTTTTGCTGTTTGGTCTCAAACATTTCATTTAATTTGGTACTCTCCATCTCGTACCATCTTGTTTGGTTGATAATTTCCTCAATATTCTACAGTCTCAATTGAATTTTACTATCAATGAGTCATTTAACTCTTTTATTGATTATTTCATTTTTTATTAAAGATTTTGTTGCCCTATAGGATCCGAGTTTGGCTGGATAATTGGCTCCAGATGTCAATCACATGAACTTTATTAACTTAGACCTCTACCCACGTTGGTTAGTTGGTGGATTCTTTTGTTTTCATCCACACTTAGCTAGATCATCCTAGTCTTGCCAAGTTACAACAAGAAGCACTAATTCTTTCCAAATTGTCTAAGTTACATTAATTATGTCAATTCCCCTGTATTGATCATTATTATCAATGCACTTTGTTGATTTTAACGAAAAATCAATTCAAGTTGTTTTCCATAATCCAATCTTTTATCAAGAGATAAAAAATCAATTTTAAGTTCGAACTTGCATTTTCCAAAGTGATAATGCGCATGAACATTTTGATGACTTGGGTCCAACCAATGGACCCATCAAAAAGAAAAATAACTAAACAAAGGTCAATAAGGAAGTCAAGATCTATCAACAAGGATTATGCAAGCTCAAAATCACACATCAAGGCCATCCATGTCCGCCTAGCGACATGTCCAGGTCGCTTAGCGAGAGGCAGCTCAACGAGAAACACAGTAATAGGTACCCAAAATTTATTATTTCCTCAAAGAATTCCAAGACAGGTTCTTGGATGATCTTGCAGATAGACCAGACAGCTTGCTCTGCACTAGAATATAGAACACACACAACACCATGTCTTTTGAGAGGACCTATCTCTCCCTTCCCATTGTCTATCAAACAACTCCAAAAACTAAAGAAAACAACCCCCCAAACAGACTTTATAATAGTCTGACACACAACAAACCCACCACACAGACATTTATAATTGTTTGTCCCTCTTATTCCCTCTTAAACCCACCAATAGAACATGCTCTAAAGTTTTGGAACAAGACAAATTATTACACACCAATGATACTAAACGTCTATATGGTGTTTGTCACGATCTTTTCAATGTTGTTGCTCCACGAAATCAATAATCTATGGATGATTATTTTGGTAACACCATGCTCTTTTTCATGAATTTAATTAGGTTTGACCTCTTGCCTCTACTCCACCACAAGAAATAGAACAAGAGTCAAAGTTCTTCTTGGTATTGGCTTTACACAAACTTACTAATAAATATTCCCATGTCCATGATCAAATTTTGGGTTCCTTGTTATACCGAATTTTACTTCTACTTGTTCCACCCTTTTGTGTGTGTCAGGTAAACCTATTAATGATACACTTGTTTCTACAAATGATTCTTCTGCTTTGGCATCTCAACATGATGATCACAACTGCTCTCGCAAGCCAGGAAAAGGGCGTCACAAGTGTGACCATTGTGGCAAGCTAGGCCACAAGATTGACAGGTGTTATGCATTACATGGTCATCCAACTCGCTCTGTTGTTGTTGCTCAAACTGATTCCCCCTCCATCTGATATTGTCGATAAATCTGCTCTCTTCAATGAATTTCTTAAGTGGTATGAGGATCGTCTGACTCTATCTTCATCTATTGGTCCTTGGGTTCTTAACTCAGGAGCCACATATCACATTACTGGTAACAAATCTTTTTTTTCCTCTTTATCCTCTCCGAATAATTTACCTTCTGTTACAATGGCTGATGGGTCTAGGGTTTTAGCTCATGGTGTCAGGACCATTAACCTTTTTCCTTTTTTATCCATTGATAATGTTCTTTATGTCCCTGGGTCTCCTTTTAACTCATTATCTATTACTCGTCTAATTTCGTTCTTTTTATGGTGTTATTTCTTTTACCAAAACTTTTGTTTGTTTACAGGACCGAAGTTTGAGACAGGTGATTGGCACCGAATGTGATTCTCATTGTCTTTATCATCTCTGCCCTTCTACACATGTTGCCACAGTTACGAACTCTCCATCTCTCCTTCATGCTAAGTTAGGTCATCCTAGTCTGGCCAAATTGCAACAGTTGGTTCCCAACTTGACCAAATTGTCTAGTCTAGTGTGTAAGTCGTGTCAATTAAGGAAACATAGTCATAGTTCCTTTCCTAGTAGTGTTTCACAACATGTTTCATCCCCTTTTGCCTTTATGCAATCTGATATTTGGGGTCCTAGTCGTATTAAGTTTAATTTAGGTTTTCAATATTTTGTCACTTTTATTAATGATTATTCCATATGTACTTGGTTATTTTTAATGAAAAATCGTTCTGATTTATTTTATATCTTTCATACTTTTTATAATGAAATTAAAACTCAGTTTGGTATTTCTATTCAAACTTTGCAAACTGATAATGGTCGTAAATATCATTCAAATTCTTTCAAACAATTTATGGCTTCTCATGGCATTCTCCATCAAACTTCATATGTTTTTATACCTCAACAAAATGGGGTGGTTGAGAGCAAGAATAGGCCTCTTATTGATTCATGGTGAGCTTTCTCAACATTTTTAGGGTGATGTTATTCTTATTGTATGATATCTTATTAATCGTATGTCGTCTTCGATTTTAGATAACAAAATTCCTCATTCTATTTTATTTCCTCATGAACCTCTCCATCCCTTGCCTATGGAAGTTTTTGGGTCTACATGTTTTGTTCAAAATTTTGGTCCTAAACTTGATAAGTTATCTCCTAGATCACACAAATGTGTGTTTTTAGGATTTACTCAATCTAAAAAATGATACAAGTGTTTTTCTCCTTCTCTTAACCGTTATTTTGTTTCTGTAAATGTAACCTTCAATGAATTTTCGTTTTACTTTAAGGGTTCATCTTCTTTTGATGTGTCTCCATCCACTATTGTTAATATTCATGTTATCTATGATCCTCCTCTTATGCATAGTCCACCGTCGGATTCTCCTCCTCCACCACCCCTTCAGGTTTACAGTTGAAGACATTGTTCCCAACAACCACCAAGTGACTCACTTCAAGTGCCAACTATTTTGTCTCCTTCGGCTCCTACAACTAAGTCTAACCTCCCAATTGCTCTCCATAAAGGTATACGTTCCACTCGTAATCTCTCTCCACATTATATTGCTTTGAGTTACCATAGATTATCTTCAACTTTTTATAGTTGCCTTTCATCTATTTCTTCAATGTTCATCCCTATATCTGTCAATAATGCCTTAGTCCCTCCTGGTTGGCGTCAGGCCATGCTAGATGAACTTTATGCTCATTAGAATAGTGGAACTTGGTTGCTCGTCCCATTACCATCTGGAAAATCTGTTGTTGGTTGCAAGTACGTTTTTTCTATCAAAGTTAGTCTTAATGGTACTATTGATTGCCTCAAAGCTCAACTTGTAGCCAAAGGCTACACACAAATTTTTGGATTGGATTATGGAGATACATTTCCTCCCGTGGAAAAGATGGCTTTTGTTCATTTATTTCTGGCCATGGCTCTTCAACAATGTCCTTTTTATCAACTGGATGTCAAAAATGTTTTTTCAATGGAGATTTGTAGGAAGAAATTTATATGGAGCAACCTCTCAGATTTGTTGCTCAGGGGGAGTCTTCTGAATTGGTATGTAATCTTCGCAAATCTATATATGACTTAAAACAGTCTCTTAGGGCCTGGTTTGACAAATTTAGCAGCGTTGTTCAACAATTTGGTACGACTCGAAGTAAGGCAGATCATTTATTCTTTTACCGTCACTCAAATGCTAGATATGTCTATTTGATAGTATATGTTAATGACATTATTCTTACAAGCAGCGACCACCATGGCATCACCCAGATAAAACAACACCTTTGCTATCCTTTTCAAACCAAAGATCTTGGCAAACTCAGATACTTCTTGGGTATTGAGGTAGCACAATCCAATGATGGTATTTTTATATTTCAAAGGAATTATGCATTAGATATTTCGGACAAAATTGGTTTGATGAATTCAAAACTTGTTAACACATCCATGGATCCAAATACCAAACTCTTACCAAATCAGGGGGAACCTACTTCAAATCTTGAGCAATATAGAAGATTGGTAGGGAAATTAAATTACCTTACAGATAATCATCCGGATTGGGCAGGATCTCCTTTTGATAGAAGATCTACCTCCGGATATTGTGTCACCATTGGTGGTAACTTGATTTCTTGGAAGATCAAGAAAAAAAGTGTTGTGGCAAGATCTAGTATAGAGGCAAAATATAGAGATATGGCCTCAGCCACTTATGAACTTGTTTGGCTTAAGCAATTGCTTAGAGAGTTACAATTTGAAAATGTCACTCAAATGACATTTATGTGATAATGAGGCAGTTCTTCATATCAGTTCCAATTTTGTCTTCATGAAAGAACCAAATACATTAAGATTGAGTGTCATTTCATTTGAGAGAAGATTATATTTGGAGACATCAAGACTGAGTTTGTTAACTCAAATGATCAGTTAGCATATATTTTCACTAAGTATTTAAGGGGATTGAGAATTGATTGTATTTTTGGTACATACAATTCATATGCACCAGTTGAAGGAAGTGTTAAATATATTAGATTTTATGTTCATTAGGGAAACGTAGACTTTTGATATTGTTTGATATTGGTAGATATTGTTAATATTGTTTTTTAACAATATCTTCTATTTACCATATTTATGTTTGATTGTCATATATACTTGACAAGTAATGGAGTGGCTTTTATAGAAGAGGCAGGTAGCGGATAAGCTCTACCCATACCCACCCCAACCATTTATCATCCCTAATCAGGACAAGGAAAATCAATTTAACCCAAAACATATCAAAGATTAATTTGGAAACTAAATTACCTCACAATGATTCATCTAGATATCTCATTTCCAATAAGTGCGGAAAGCCACTTCATCAATTATCCTCACAACAGTCACTGGGATGAAATGATAAGTATTGTGAAATATTTGAAGAAAGACTCAAGACCTCTTATTTGAAGGCAACAATCATACACATCTTGTTGGTGTAGCTCTCCCATTAACAAGTGATCCATATCAAGGTTATTCTTTTATTGAAGAAATTTCTAGCTCTCCCATTGATAAGTAGTGAAATATTTTAAGGAAGCCCAAGACCTCTTTTGTGAAGGCAACAACCATACACATCTTGTGAGGTATTTATTACATTGATCTAGCTCTCCCATTAACTAGTGATCCATTTCTAGGTTTTTCCTTTTTATTGGAAAAATTTTGATTTCTTGGAATAGCAAGAAGCACATGTGGTAAAATCATGTATTAAAAGCAGAACATAGACAGTGTCTCATTCCTGTATTTGTGACTTATTCTATAAATACTACTTCTCAAAGTGTATGTTATTCAAATGGATTCTCTGTCATAGTCTCGCCCACATTTTCATCTCAACTCAGCAAATGAAAGGTTAAATTTATTAAAAAATAATCATGTTGTCCCTGTTTCTCAAATGATACAGCAGTGAGTTATACATTAGCCATAACTAATATTAGTAAAAGATAAAAATCAATAATTCATTAGCTAACAATTTTTAACTAAGCAAAATTGACTGGTGAGAGTAAGATAGTTGGTAAAGAGCATGCGGAACAGCTTTAAAAATATGTTTCAGTAAAAATTACAACAAAATATGCAGAAATAATAGCAACCATAATCCAGAGTTAGATAACCCTCTTACCTCTAGAACTTGTTTTTCAACTGTTCGGCCTTCTGATGCAGTGTGACCACCTAAATATGCCAGGTACTGCATAAGCATTTTGGTGGTTTCTGTCTTACCAGCACCACTCTCACCACTAACAAGAATAGAATTGCTTTTCACATCATTCATCATTTCCCTAATTTAAACAACCAGTCAGCAATAAGAATACCATTTAAAAAAAAAGTTGAGCATATGAGGCGCAAATTCACCTATATGCTGCTTCAGCAATAGCAAAAACATGTGGGCTCAAATCTCCAACCATTGATCCCTTGTATCTTTGCATCACATTAGTATCATAGAGATGTGAAAGACTTTGGAAGGGATTGATTGCAATGAGAATATTTCCGGTATAAGTCTGCCTCGATGTAAAATTAGTATAAAAGAGATGTCAATATATAGCTGTGGTTTAAATTATTATAAAAGAGATGTCAATATATAGCTGCGGTTTAAATTATTCATCATGTATCATATTTCCCTTGCATCTAAGCTTTTTATGCCATGATTTCAAACTGAATGTAGGGGGTAATCTTACATATATTTCATTCATCGCATATCTAGTTTCCAAATTATGCAGCACTGCTGGCTCATGCAAATAAGCAAGCTTGGTCATGTCATCAACTCCATCAGCTGGTGCATCGATATCCTTTGGATATAATTTTGACAAATGGGAAACAACCTAGTGACATGGAAACAGAATAGAAGATGATTGGTCAAGATTACATGAGCACACATGTGGGCAGCAATATTACAAATGTGAAGTAAATTTGGAAACACTACATTGAAAGAATGTGACTTATTAAACATCTCGGTTTACCTTCCTCTCATCACTAATCTGAATTTCAGCATCTTCTCCATTGATACTCAGTACCTGGCCAGCAATCCAAATTACTTCTGGATCTCCAACCCAAACATGAGAACCAACAACAATATTTTCCGGAATCCCCTGAATCATTTGTAATNACTTGTTTTTCAACTGTTCGGCCTTCTGATGCAGTGTGACCACCTAAATATGCCAGGTACTGCATAAGCATTTTGGTGGTTTCTGTCTTACCAGCACCACTCTCACCACTAACAAGAATAGAATTGCTTTTCACCTCATTCATCATTTCCCTAATTTAAACAACCAGTCAGCAATAAGAATACCATTTAAAAAAAAAGTTGAGCATATGAGGCGCAAATTCACCTATATGCTGCTTCAGCAATAGCAAAAACATGTGGGCTCAAATCTCCAACCATTGATCCCTTGTATCTTTGCATCACATTAGTATCATAGAGATGTGAAAGACTTTGGAAGGGATTGATTGCAATGAGAATATTTCCGGTATAAGTCTGCCTCGATGTAAAATTAGTATAAAAGAGATGTCAATATATAGCTGTGGTTTAAATTATTATAAAAGAGATGTCAATATATAGCTGCGGTTTAAATTATTCATCATGTATCATATTTCCCTTGCATCTAAGCTTTTTATGCCATGATTTCAAACTGAATGTAGGGGGTAATCTTACATATATTTCATTCATCGCATATCTAGTTTCCAAATTATGCAGCACTGCTGGCTCATGCAAATAAGCAAGCTTGGTCATGTCATCAACTCCATCAGCTGGTGCATCGATATCCTTTGGATATAATTTTGACAAATGGGAAACAACCTAGTGACATGGAAACAGAATAGAAGATGATTGGTCAAGATTACATGAGCACACATGTGGGCAGCAATATTACAAATGTGAAGTAAATTTGGAAACACTACATTGAAAGAATGTGACTTATTAAACATCTCGGTTTACCTTCCTCTCATCACTAATCTGAATTTCAGCATCTTCTCCATTGATACTCAGTACCTGGCCAGCAATCCAAATTACTTCTGGATCTCCAACCCAAACATGAGAACCAACAACAATATTTTCCGGAATCCCCTGAATCATTTGTAATCAATAGCATTTAGAAAGTTCTTGATTACGATCAACACATGAAAGTAAATGGCCAGAATAAAACAAAGTCAATTTGATGTGCCTGAACTCAGTGTCTTTCAAAGGGAACAGCTGATAACAGAAACAACATTATCTGCTGCATAATCATTCAGTTTTCATTTATTTATCCAAAGAATGTTGGAATAGGTGAAGGATATTTCCTAAAAGTCATTTGACTTTGTAAGTTCAGTCTCAGATTACAAACATAGCACTAGTTTTAAACTTTAAAAAAATCAACATTCAATATTTGAATTATAACAGATTTTGGTCACAGTCTTGGGAGCCAATCCCACCTTAATGCGCTGCTTTTAATATGAATGGAAAACATGATTTTGAAAGTCATGCCTCTTGGCATGGATTATTAGCTCGGATCACAATATTCATATTTAATTGGGGGAAAGAAGAACATTTCAAGTCTCACTAAGTTATTGAGACTTGAGATACATACAAAACCTGTCTTATGACCGAAATCCTAATCAAAAAATTTATTAGCACGACCATACACTTTTTGTAGCCATGTATAGTCTTCGCAGCGTACATGGGACTCTAAATTGACCCCTCTTCTCAATCTTAGTACGGAAGAGCGTCTCAGTCAGAATTGCAGTATATAAAATATGACAAGAAAACTAACAATTTCCACCCTAGAGCATTACTCTCCCTATATAGTCCCTAAAGTAAACACATTACATAAATAATTCCTGAAGTATAAGAAGAAATCATACAAAATAGTTCCTCAAGTATTAAAAACTCCTTAAAAACAGTACTTGGAAGTTAATGAGATATATCGACAAGAATTAAATTAATGGCTATTCAATACTCTGAGGACTATTTATATAACATCATTCCTAAGAGAGCACAAAATTTGAGTTATGAAATTGATGGTTCCCTCAAAATATGACTATATATAAGTCCAATCAAACATATCACTCTCAAAAACTTTTGCTTCTGCCAACTTCAGCAGCATTTATTAACCTTCTAATCTTCTAGGTTTTCAGCAACTTCCTTTAGTATGCCTATCAACGTCTTACGAATTGTAAAATCTCTACAAAAATCAAGTAATCACGAAGCAATGGGATAGAACACTGCAAGCCAAACTGACAAGGATTCGATTCTGCAAACAGCGATCGCTGAAATCGAAATGAGCAACAACCGTACCATTTCCGGAGAATATGAACCTCAGCCAAATAGGTGTCACCGGCCAAGAAAAACACGTGCGGACATTTTCCAACGGCGTGGAAGAGAAATCATGGATCAAAGTTGAACGCGAGGGAGCTGTGGTTTTGAACGTGCAAGAGAGATCGGAATGAGAATAGAAGCGAAGAGAATAATTGCTTTGGAGTTTGCCTAGCGCGAATGGAAAAGTGATAGTGATGAAGGTTTGTGAGAGCAGAAATGTCTGAAGGCCCTGCAAAATCGCCATGCTTGTGGACATTCTTGTGCCTCGCACTCTTCCCTCTTCTCTCCTCGCCGCATGGACTTCGCGGGTAACCATACACGTTTGAGAAACTTTGAAAGTCACCTTTGCATAAATTTAATTCTAATCTTACTTTTGTGTATAGGATATTACATAATTATATTATATCTATCTCTATTAGGATTAGTTTTCTACGTCTCGTAATAATATAAATTATCAATTTTATTCTTAAGTGGCTTTTTTAAAATTTAATCAATTTTTTAAACTTCAATTTTTTTAATTTAATATTTTTCTAAACTTAAATAATTATTTATAATAAAATATTATCAACAAAAGAAACAAAAGCTATTTACAATAAAATTATAAAATATATATATATATATATATATATTAATTTTTACAATTATGATTTTATTTTTTTTTATTTTTATTGGAAAAATTAGTACGAAAAAGTAGTATGTGTGCACTTCATTAATATAAAATAATTTTATCATTATATTTTAAAGAATTAAATATGTTTAGTCTCTTAATTTAGTGAAAACAAATTCTTATGTTTATTGTTTTAATAATAATAAAATTATTATTACAAAAATAAATATAATTTTTTTACCACTTAACTCTGAATAATTTTAATTTATTTTGTAGGTAACTTTTATTTATTAAATTTTAAAAAACAATTAAATTTTAAAAAAACGGTTAAATTTGGATATAGTTTCACATGTCAAATTACAATGTAACATTATTAATATAACATGATAGTATTATATGCAAAATAAATAATGTATTGCCAATTAGAATTTACCTATTGAACGAAGTAAAATGAATAATGAATATCACCTATTCATATAATAAGCTGTTTATATGAATTTGTCAACAAAATTTATATGGACTCATTTAAAATAGTAAAATAAAAAACATTTAGAATGATAAAATAAAAATAAGAACTAGTTTAGTTAACTTTTAATTATTTCATAAATTTTGGATATTTTAATTAAATTTATTTTAAGAAAATATTATATATTAAAAATATTTGTCTATTTATTCTTGTCATGAAAATTATATATATATCTCATTTCTAACTTATTAACTGAATCAATTTATTTTTTCCTCTTCATTTTATTTTAATTTATCGATCAACTGCTTACTTTCTTCTTAAAAAAATGAATTAACCAATAAAAAGAAGATTAAAAAAATGTATAAACTGATTGATAGATTTAAAACGAAAAACAGAAACAATAATAATATTATTATTTGTTAATAAAATTAAACAGATGAAAATAAAAATAATTTAAATATTTTATAAAATAAGAATTATTAGCATAAGTTCTATTAAAAATAATTAAATATAGAACGTAATTAAAATTTAATTAAATATTGAATATTCATATTTTCATACTAATAAAGAGAAAACTACTCAATCTCTAAAAAAATTCCAAATTGGATCGAAGACTTCTTACGCATTAACTACTTTTCATCACTAATTAGCACATTTCATATCTTAAATTTGTAATTTTCAAACAAAGAAATGGTAAAAGTTGGATCGTTTTCCTATTGTGAAACTAAGAACTAAAAACAGCATGGTCATAAAAAAGATAATTTTTATATTTAAAGAAAAAGAAGAATAAAAAGTAAAAAATGTAATCCAAAATGAAAAATTTGTATGTACGAAAGTTTTATGGTTTTCATTATATTATTAGATCATTTATCTTAAATAAAAACCTTATGCGAAAACGTAATTTGTGATGAGATATGACCCATTCAATATTTAATGCTTTGACCTCAATTTAGTCAAAAGTCAAGAACATGGAAAATGGAAGACCCTACCTTTTCAAGTCATATTCACCTTTTCAACAGGCTAGAAAAGAAAACCGCATAATCTGCGTCTAAGATTGTTTTTCACTAATCAAAGAAATACAATGTATCAATTATTTTTAATTCATTTCTTTTTCTCTCTATCTACTTAATAAATACACGTATCAATTATTTTAATATGATATTAAGATTTACAAATAATAAATAAACAGAAGCTAAACATTATCCAAAAATCGATATTTAAAAAGATAAAGTGGAAGTATTAATAGAAAAGAATTTTTTAACATTTTTATTACATTTCAAGTATTCAAGTTTGATTACTTTTAATACATTTCAAGCAATACAAAGAGCGTGTTAATAGAAAAGAATTTTTTAACATTTTTATTGAGAAGAACAGTGTGATAGTAAAAGAGTCTTTTGTTTATTATTATTATTATTATTAAATTGAGAAGATCTCAGTGATTAAAATATTTAAAGACAGAATTAGATAACGGGAAAAATATATTTTGATACAGTGTATATATATTATTATTTTACTATTTATTATTCACTTTAAATTGAATATTATGATGTGTCAAAATGTTGTAACAAAATTTATATTAACATTGCTCATAGGTAACGTATATGTGAGAGTAAGTGTTGGATCCTTTCATGTAATGCAAGGTACCATTTGCTTAGAAGAAGAAAAAGAATTAAATTTATCAAGAGAAGTAGAATGTTTGGGAAAATAGAACAATAGAAAAAAAACAAAAATCTGAACAAAAGAATGTGTGAGGGAAAACATGTAGATATGTAACAGTTAAAAGAATATATATGTGGAAATTCTCCGATGTGGCAAAAAGCTGCAACTTTGGGCTTATGGTCGAATTGGATCAGGTGCCGAAGGCTTCAAAGGACCACGTGGAAGGAACTGTAACAGAAGACTATCAAATTCCACAGAATCATGTTCATCGTGCAAAGGCCTGGAACTTGCTGCACCTTCAGAAAAAGCAACCGTGATGATGAACACCATCACTATAACCATGAAAAGTATCCTCCTCCTGGAGAAATTAGCCATGTCAAACAAAAACAGCAATGCTCTTCAATTTATATAACAATGCACCTCTTAGAATCGAGCTGTAATATGCTCTTTGTTTCAGACAAGTTTTTCTTTGATATGACTGATAGATTATTGATGACGATGGTGAAGGAACTTGCATGTGTGTATATATATATATATGTGTGTGTGTGTGTGTGTGTGTAAGGGATGTTCAGTTTTGCAATTGGGAATGCGTCGTGACTCGTTTTTCTTGACTGGGCAAATATACATGGGTTTGAAGTTGAAGAAGGTTGAATTGAAAATATTGAACCAATCAAACTTCGAATACTAATAAATTTAAACCTGGTCACCAACATGAAAACGAGTACAGACAAGTATATATGACAATACCATGGTTCGGTTTATATGTCAAAATGCCTTAGAAACTCAACCACTAATACTTATGTTTCCGTTTTAATACTCCCACCTAGTTTTTAACCCCCTTAATCACGCACTAATTATGGTTTTCGATTAAATTACGCATAAATATTTCTCCGTTGAAAGTTAAACTTTTTTCTTCTTATTAAAACAAAAAAGTCAAAAGGACACAGTCCTTGTCATGTTCTGTTTGCATGATAATCCACCGATATTGAATCATCTGTCTAAAACTTCTTGTTGCATGTTTACTTATCCATGTAGATTGACGTATGTAATTTTATATAAATAATATATGTAATTGCCACTGAAGGTAATTATAAGCTAGCATTTAAATCAGTTAAATCATATAATTAGCTTTATATTAAAAAATTATATCACACGAATTTGCATCATCCGTACAAGTATTCTTATACGTAAAGTTATTTAACTATTTCCTCCTTACACTTAGGAGATTTTGTTTTCTAGTTACCATTTATAAAACTAAAAAATATTATTATTTTTTAAAAAATTATTTTATTTATATTTAATTAATTTATAGTTACATTGTAATAAATTTTTAATGAAGACGTTTTGGTCAATAATAATTTTCATAATAGCTATATAATTCACTTGATAAATTTGTATATATATTACTTTAAACGAAAAATAATTTAAAATAATGAGCCTGTTAAAAGCTTTGTTTTAACGAATTTTCTTATTCCAAATTATATATTTACCTACCAAAAAGTTTATTTATTTAAGCTTATTCATTTAGTTAAATTAATGAATACAAATTTAAAATTTAAAATTAGACTTAAATTATTTTAAACGAGTCAAATATAAACTTTAAGAACTTGGCTTAGCTATTTTTCAAACTTTTGTTCTTGTTATTTATAAGATTGAATATTAGGCGTATAAAATTAACATAGTTTATGGATCAATTATTAAATAATATTTATCTAAAATAATAATTATAATATCTGGTAAAATTAGTTATGATTGTAATATTCTCCAATAAATATATTGTGAAATGTTCTAAAATAAAAATGATTAATAGATGTTATTAAACTAAACTCTTTAATATATTTATTATGCTACATACAACATCCATTCTACGAAACAAATATTTTCTGAAGTTGTTTTCCTACCATAATTGATGATAGACAGAAGGGAATATGGACATATTAATATTATTTAGATTAATTTTATAAAAAGTTATTTATTAGCTTTTGTTCAGTTTATAAATATACTATATTATATATATATATATATATATATATA